ACCTGGTTTTGATCTTAGAATGATACTGGCTTCATAGAAGGAATTTGGGAGTTCTCCCTTTGTTTCTATCTTTTTGAATAATTTAAGTAGCACTAGTTGTAGATCTTCTTTAAATATCTGGTAGAATTCTGCTGTAACTCCATCTGGGCCTGGGCTTTTTTTAGTTGGGAGGCTTTGTTTCAATTTCATTATATGTTATGGGTCCGTTTCCACTGTTGACCTCTTCTTGGTTTAACTTTGGTGGTTCCCATGATTTTAGATATCCATCCATTTGTTTAAAATTTTCAAATTTTGTAGCGTATAGGTTTTTTAAATTTTGCCTCATAATGGTCTGGATCTTTTGGGTGCCTGTTGTGATGTTTCCCCTTTCATCTCTGATTTTGTTGATTTGGAGTTGCTCTTTCTTTCTTTTGGTTAACTGGGCTAAGGGTCTGTCTATCTTGTTTAGCTCTTTAAAGAACCGGCTCTTAGATTCATTGATTCTTTGTATTGTTTTCTTGTTTCTATTTCATTAATTTCTGCTCTGATTTTTGTTGTTTCTTCTCTTCTGCTGGGTTTGGGTTTCATTTGTTCTTGCTTTTCCAGTGCCTTGAGTTGCAGAGTTAGGTCATTTATTTGTGCTCTTTCTAATTTTTTAATGTAGGCACTTAGAGCTATAAATTTCCGTCATATAGACTGCTTTTAAAGTGTCTCAGAGGTTAGCAGCAAGCATTCTTAATGACTGAGTCACCTTTCCAACCTCAGAACAAGATATTTTCTATTTTTAAGTAAAAATTGGTGCTTGTGAGATGGCTCAGAAGGTAAAGTCACTTGTTGCAAAGCCTGAAGACCCAAATTTTATCCATGGGACCAGTGGAAGGAGAGAATTGGCTTCTGCAAGTTGTCCTTTTGACTGCTGTTCTAGTTTAATTCTGTTGCTGTGATAAACCACACTGCAACTTGGTAGAGGAAAGGATTTATTTATCTTATACTTCCCACACCACAATCTATCACTGAGGGAAGTCAGAGCAGGAGCTCAAGTAGGAACTGAAGGAGAAACTATGGGCGAAAGCTGCTTTCTGACTTGCTCACAGGTTCATGCTTGACTAACTTTCTTATAACAGCCCTGGCCCACAATGGGCTGGGCCTTCCTACACCAGTTAACAATCAAGACAGTTCCTCACAGACATGATCACAGGTCAATCTGATATGGGAAATCCTTCAATTGAGACTCTCTCAAATGATGCTAGGGCTGTGTCATTTTGACAGCAAAGACTAACTAGAATAACCATCCTACATGTCCACCTCTCCACAAATAAATGAATAAATGAATTTTAAGAAAAGAATTAAATAAAAATATCAAGACTTAAGACCAGAAACTGGTGATTATACCCTGGGTGGCTTTGACCATGAAAGGAGTTTTTAAAGTCCTAAGTGCTATGGGTTGGAATGTCATTCGCTCTGTAGATGAGAACATGGTATGTGATATTAGTTGGCTTTTATTTCATTTTTGTTTGCTGTTTGTTTCCACAGCTGAGGGTCTTCAAGTTAGCCAAATCCTGGCCAACATTAAACACCCTAATTAAGATCATCGGCCACTCCGTTGGAGCGCTTGGAAACCTGACCGTGGTCCTGACCATTGTGATTTTCATCTTTTCAGTCGTTGGCATGCAGCTTTTTGGCTCTAGGTTCTGTTCTCAAAAGATTAAAAATCCCTGTGCTGCAGAGGAGTCATGTCGCCGGCGCTGGCACATGGGGGATTTCTATCACTCCTTCCTGGTGGTGTTCCGCATCCTCTGCGGGGAATGGATCGAGAACATGTGGGAATGCATGCAGGAGATGGAGGGGTCTCCACTGTGCATCATTGTCTTTGTGTTGATCATGGTGATAGGAAAACTTGTGGTGAGTTGCTTGGATTTTTTTTAAAAAGTAAAACACTCACTGAGCATGGTGGCATGCACCTTTAATTCCAGCTCTCAGGAGGCAGGGGTAGGTGGATCTCTGTGAGATGGAGGCCAGCCTGGTCTACATAGTGACTTCAAGGTAGGCTGGGACTAGGGGGATTCTGTCAAAACAAACAACTGCTTACTGAGGATGGGGCATCAAGACCAAGAGGCAACCATACAGCCCGTTGTACAAAAAGTAGGAGACTGCACAGAGACTTGGGTATCAGATGGGACTCTCCATGGGCAATCCCAGCAACAATCCAGGCTCAGAATCCAGCTGACTCCCAAGCTATGCACCTCAATTTTGGACGTTGTGAGATTCCATTCTGTTTGGCTCTGGCCAGGCTCTGCACATACTTGGTAGCTAATTTTAAAGTAGATTTAGCTGTTTATATTCTTTAAAAAATTTGTTTGGGGACTGGAGTGATAGCCCAATGCTCAAGAGTATATACTGCTCTTGCAGAGAACCCAAGTTTGGTTCCCAGAACCCACGCTGGGTGGCTCACAATCACCTGTAACTCCAGCTCCATAGGATCCCATGCTCTTTTCTGGCCTCCACATACACGTGCATGCACTCAAAGACATGCACATATACACATAAGTAAAAAATAAAAATAAGTCTTCAGGGGGCTGGAGAGTTGACATGGTGGTTAAGAGCACTGGCTACTGTTGCAGAAGACCGGATTCAGGTACCAGCGCCCACATGGTAGCTAATAACTGTCTGTAACTCCAGTTCCAGGGGATTTGATGCCCTCTTCTGACCTCTTCAGGCATTTTATGACATGGGTGCACTTACATACATACAGGCAATACACTCATCTGCATAAAATAAAAATTTTTTTTAAATTGAAAACGTGTTTGATTTTTAAATTAGCATCAACAACATAATAGATTAGATTGTGGCATTTTCATACTTAATTTTTTCTTCTTTTCATGTATACATGTGTGTGGTGTATGGGGGCACATGTATATGGACACACATGTATCTACAGGTACGTGTGGGGGGGGCATGTGGAGTTCTGAGGTTGATATCAAGAATCTTTCTCGATTACTCTCCCATCTTATTTGAGGCAGGCTTTCTCAATCAAACCCAGAGTTCACAGATACGGCTAGTTTGGCCAGCCAGCTTACTCCAGGGATTTCCCTTCTTCCCCTTCCTTAAAACCTCTTTTCCTCTATCTTGTAATTTCCTTTCTATTTTCATGACTTATATCCACACTCACACCCACACATTCATATATAAAAATGTAAAAGTAGTAGCTGAATAGGAGAAAAAACATGCAGTATTTGCCTTGTATCTGTGTCCTCACTTGGAATAATAGTTTCCAGGTCCCTCTTTCTGTGTTTGCATTCTTTAACTTGACTTCTCCGTGTGTCTTTTTCTCACTATTTCTTCCTCAATCTTCTTTTTGTCACTTAATTTGTTGATCAGTTTCCTTGATAGCAGGAAGTCTCACTTGACTTCATTTTGAGTCTTGGGGAAGGTTGTTCTAGGAACTCAGAGTATTATTTCTTTTGTTAAATTTTCCCTTCCCATCCCCCCGACCCGACCCCAGGTGCTCAACCTGTTCATTGCCTTGCTGCTCAATTCCTTCAGCAATGAAGAGAGAGATGGAAACCCAGAAGGACAGACCAGGAAAACCAAAGTCCAGCTGGCCCTGGATCGGTTCTGCCAGGCTTTTTCTCTTGTAGTACACACTCTTGAGAATTTCTGTTGCAAGAGATATAGGAGACAAAACGCAACAAAGCAAAAAGAGATCTCAGGAAGCTCTGCTGCAGAGAACAAAGATATTCTTCTGGACACAGAGCCCTGGAAGAAATTTGATGCCCAAAAGAGCTCGGACCCAGGCCAAGATGGGGTTCAGTTGGCCCCACTTGCGGAAGAAGAGGATGACACTGAATATTCTGATGAATTTGATGTCCTGCCCACCTCACAACCTGAAGTTCAGGTAGGAAAGTCCTCTCATCAGTGTAGGGTTATCCTGGGGCACTTGTTACCTGTCATGTTTTGAAGTGCTGTGTAGGGTTAGGAAGGCTATCCAATGAGGTCTCTGCTCTTTGATCCTCCTGGGCCTATCTCAGGACAGGTTTCAGTTGTAGTGTCCAGATTGTGAATTCATAGGGGAACAAGAGCAGAAACAGGTAGACCAATAATGGAGGAAAGTGCTATTGGTTGAACCTATCTCTGTAGTGTTTGGATTAGCTGAGAAAGCAAGGAAATAGGGATGTGGAAAGTGATGTGAATAGCATAAGAGAGAGAGAGTGGCCTCTGTAGGGACTAGCCTCAGGGATGGAGAGTGGTGGATGCCATCCCAGGCTGTTTAAGCCAGTCTAACTAAACATTGTAGACTTGATTGGTGGTGTCTAAAGAACTAAGATTCATATCTCACACTCTGGGAATTCAAGATCAAGGTGTCACCAGTCTGTTCTGATGAAAGTCAGTTCTCTGATTCTTAAATGGCACCTCTCCACCATGCCCGCCTTGTGGTGGTACACAAGCCCCAATGGCTGGTCTCCCTTGGGCTTCTACTCTTTTCTAAGGACACTAACTCCAGGGTTTTTCTGATCCAACAATTCCCAAGTTTCCACCTCTTCATTTTATCTCACCAAGGCTCCATGACTCCCAATTGCACTACACTAAGGACCAAACCTCCAACACAGCAACCCTTAGGAAAGAAATCAGTGAAATTTAAAATCATCATCATTTAGTGATGATGTAATTTTTCAAAATTCTTCCTGTAGTTCATATGTTTTGTTTCTATTCTAAGAAAGCTTTGTTTAACCCAAGGTCACAAGGAGGTTTTCTCATATAATTTTCTTTCAGAATTTTATAGGTTTAACATTTGAGCTCAAATCTATGGTCAACTTCAATTTAATTTGTACATATGGCACAAATTGAAGCACTCTTTCGTATATACATATGGGTCTATCTTAGATCATTAATGCATTTCATAGATAGCCCTCCCATGTACCTACGTATATACATACATATGTATTTATGAACATATGTGTCTCTTTGTACATTTCTGCCTTGACAATTATAAATTTATATGAGGTTTGAAAGCTCATGTTGTAACTTTGTTACTTAGGAAATTTGCTTTGGCTATTGTAGCACTTTACGTTTTTCTATACATTTATGTTATGAAGATAGTTCAGCTTATCAAATTTCCTCTAAAGAAATTGATAGAAATTTGGGAAAGGAGATTGCATGACTATATAGCTCATTTTGTAGATTGCTGGCATCGTAATAATGACTCTTCCGATTCATAAGCACGTGAACTCTCTACTTATATTTTCTTTAATTTCTCTTGACGCTTTTGTGGTTTTTCAGCTTACAGATCTTGACATATTTGATTAATGTTTTTTATATTATAAATGTAATTTAAAAAAAATTTAATTTGGGGATGGAGAGATGGCTCAACAGTTAAGAGCACATGCTGCTGTTGCAGAGGACCCGGGTTCAGTTCCCAGCACCAAGTTTGGCAGCTCAACAACCATCTGTAACTCCAGTTCCAGGGGATCTGATACCCTCTTCTGGCCTTTGAAGGCACTACACTCACTCTGTGCATACCACATACAGATGCATACACATACACATAATTTAAGACATTTTTTAAAAATTGCAATTTATAAGTGTTAATTATTAGCATACAGAAATGCAATACACCTTTATATATTGAATTTTATATCCTGAAGAATGGTAAACTGACATTAATTTTAAGTGCCTGTTTGTAAATTACCTAGAATTTCCTATGTATATTATTTTACCTATAAGTAAAATTTTAATATTTTCAATCTGTGCATTTTTCTTTTGATTCTTGTCGTTTTTATTTCTGTTTACATTCTTGGTGTAGTTGTGCATTTCCACAGGTGTACCTTCACTGAATTTCTTTCTGCATCCCCTTGGGTGTAGTCATTCCTTTCTTCAGCTCTTTGTATTGATTCAAGAACTCCCTGAAGGGCTGGTTTTGTGGACATGAATTCTTTCAGCCTATTTAAGTCATTGAAGATTTTTC